GAATATTTCATTATTGACAGTAAACCCTTTGTGCATGAAGCTAGATCTTCTGTGTGGAGCTTAAAGACCATGACTGCAGAATATCAACAAAACCAGACAGAGAAGGATGAAACAGAGTTTCAACAGCTGCAACAACCATTTTTAGTCTCAACAAGGTCGATGTGCACAAGTACTGATGCAGAATGTATATAATAATAGAAAGATAAAGATCATCATCCGCGCAGGATCCCCAGGGAACAGTGGGATCAGAACAAAGGGAACACAGAACGTATGAGTACTATGGGGGACATGGTCCCTAGCTGCTAAGTTAAGCAGCACAGCTAAGATGGAGTATCACAGTGCAGCAAGTACGCTAAGATAAGTGTAGAGAAAAAAGAAAAACAATTATAATGAGAGAGATGTAATATAAACATCCATCCATCATCTTCCTCTTGTTCTGGACTCAGGTCTCAGGGGCAGCATCTTGAGCAGGGAGGTCCAGACAGTCTCTCCACAGCCTCTTCCAGCTCTTCTGGGAGGACTCCAAGGTGTTCAGAGACCAACTGAGAGACATAGTCTCTCCAGTGTGTCCTGGGTCTTCCCCTGGTTCTCCTCCCAGTTGGACATACCTGAAGCACCTCCCTGTGGAGTTGCCCAGGGAGCATCCTTACCAGATGAACCACCTCAGCTGGCTCCTCTGGATGTGGAGGAGCAGTGGTTCTACCCCGAGTCTCTCCTGATAACTGAACTTCTCACCCTGTCTCTAAAGGAGAGTCCAGCTACCCTGCAGAGGAAACTCATTTCAACCTCCTGTATCCACGATCTCATTCTTTCAGTCTCTACCAGAGTTCATGACCAGAGGTGAGGTGAGGGAACATAGACCGACCGGTAAACAGAGAGCTTTGTCTTACAGCTCAGCTCCCTCTTCACCGCGATGGACAAACACAGAAGTCCAACAACAGATCAGCGCTCAGGTTCAGATCAGAGAGGCCATTTCTCCCAGTCATGCCCCTCCAGGTCACACTGTCATCACCCACGTGGACATTGAAGTTCCTCAGTAGAATAAAGGAGTCCCCAGTTGGTGCACCTTCCAGCACCCCCACCAAGGACTCTAAGAAGGCTGGATACTCTGAACTGCTGTTCGGCTCATAGGCACAAACAACAGTCAGAGCCCGTCCCCCCAACCGAAGGCGCAAGGAAACTACCCTCTCATCTACTGGGAAAAACTCCAACACACAGGCACCAAGTCGGGGGGCTACGAGTAGACCCACACCAGCTCGGCGCCTCTCACCATGGGCAACTCCAGAGTGGAATGTCCAACCCCTCTCAAGGAGATCGGTTCCAGAGTCCATGCTGTGCGTCGAGGTGAGCCCAACTAGATCTAGTAGGTACCTCTCAGCCTCACGTGCAAGCTCAAGCTCCTCCCACCCCCCCAAACCTCCAACTCCCCTCCCCCACAGAGGTCACGTTCCAT